TAAAGAACTTTTCGTTCAGCTTTATACTTGAATGCGAAGAATGTATTGACTTATGCAATGAACTATTGCCTAGATGTTTTGGGGTGTAAGACTATTTAACAGAGAATCAGTATAATACATTGTGATCAGCATGACATAAGCACTTGATAATGTGGGAACCAGCGACAATTGTACATAATGATTTGCATCAGTGTGTCAAAGCATTTGCAATTTGTTCAAAACAATGAGAAATTGCTTTTATGATGCGCACATGTGACGAGATGATGTGGGGGTTGAACAAGTAGTTTTAAGAATTTCAGTTATGATGATGTAAGAAATGTACTAAAGCGAGTGAGAAAAACTATAAGAAATTAATTTGTGACACTGCAGTTTTTGTATGACAAGACCTTCATCCATCCTCTATCCTCTTTAAATTTGAAGATGCAGTGCTTTCCCTTTATACTGTATATGGTCTCCGAAACTGCTAATGGTATCCTGGGGAGGTGCTGTGTCAAATGAGTTATCACTGAGGACATTGTGCACCACAGAAGCAGTAGTTTGTTTTTGTTTTTTTAAGAAAACAGCCGGTGCAGTAAGGACTCAGCCTAGCACTTGGGCAACTGAGCTACTGCACCCCGAAGCAACCATTATTCCTACATGTTTTTGCTCTGTTATTCCTATTTATTTAATCACAGATCATCCAGTTTTAAAATTTGTCATAGTGCTCGTGTGCCAGAAATAAGGGGTAATGCAAGTGAGTAGATCATCTGAGGAGAAAAGGAGTCTTCTCTAGCTATTTTAAACGGATGTAGTTTTATTGTTACTGAGCACTTAATTGGACTGTGAATGACTAATTTCCATTCTTTGTTTCATCAACAGATTTAAAGTTCCACCTTCACACTCATATTCATTGCATGTTTGATACCAACCTTACTTTACATCTCTTTCTGAATTAAAATGGCCTTAATGTGGCAGTCCCTGTGTTAGCTGGTATAGCAGCACGTTCCTGAATCTTCACACTGCACACTTCAGCTACAAGACTTAACATCTTTCCATAGAAACACTGAATTGAATCATTTTCCCCATCCTGTGTCTGTAAAAGGAGCGATGAGTCCATTTTTCTCTACATTCCAAATGCAGCACTCCATTTCTTTTATAGATGTGATAGTAGCAAAAGTGGATGGGTACAGGAGCAGTCTAGAAGAGGCTTGTTTTTATAAAACTTTTTAACAAAAGATTGTCAGATGAAGTTCCCAAGCAATACAATAGACCTCAAATTTGTGATATTGGACATATTATGTGATAAGCTCACAAAGAAACCTTTGAGGACATCAGTAATGTCCTGACAGAAGATACACGTTTTCACATAAAAAAGTGAGGAAAAGTCTGGTTCAAAATCTCCAAAAAAACACCATATTTTTTGTCATATGCACAATGCTGCAGCTCCTCTTTTCACCCTGTGTGTTGATCACCTGATTTTAGCTATGGAGTGATGCATCTTACCTCTACATTTTTTGGGAGTTGCACATGTGCAGTTCCTAGTTGAGGACTACTAGCCAATCAGAAGCAGAGCAGGGCGGGTCATGAGAAGCCGGTAAACACGGCGTTGGTTCAGCTATATATGTTCCCCTTACCAGCTTAGCAACATGGACTGGAGCAAGAGTTTCAGAGTGCTGAGTTATTAATCTGTAACAAAAGTATCTTTCATCCATAAAGTTTTAATTGAGCTCTGTCTCTACATCACAGTTAAAACTTCATGTCCACTGACTGCCTGGAGGGTAGCTAGTGTTTGGAAGGGAGAGGAGAGCTGTGTGCTGCAGCTCACAGACTCAATGTTTTTGAGGGCATGTCAGACTGGCTGCTTTATGGCCAGCATTATGACGCGTATTTCGCTGTGATGTCCCAGAGATAAAAGGGAAAAGGTAGGGCTACAAACAAGTGAAATGTGAAAATGTCTAGCATGATCTTTGAGTTCACTCATTGATTTAATCATAACTGAGTAACGCATTTAACTTGCTTCAGTATGTTTTCTCTGTCTTTTGTGCACAAGCACGCTATATAGTAACTACAAATACGTTATGCATGTCGGACCCTGTAATTTTTGTGGAGAGAATCTAGAGGGACCCAGGGGTGCTGTCACAAATCAGAAGATAACTGGTTCTAACATTAAGTGTATAGGCTGAGCTTTTCAGGAAGCAGTTAGGTGTGTTAAGGGGATGACAATATATGTTTCACTGTACTCCATGTCTTAAATGAATTACAGAACAAATATTTACATGTGTAAGCTTCCTAAAATTGCTGGTCTATTTTATTAGATTTCATTAAATTGAACAGTTGTTTGTTTTGTATGTAAAAGTATCGGATTGCATATAAATGTATCTATGTCTTTACTAGCCTAAACATACAATGGTGGACACTGTCGATATAGAGAACACTGTATTCTAGTACTCTATGAATGTGTTTTCATTTACTAAACATTCTGTCCTTTTAAGACTTTCACTGAATGTGATATCCTGAACCCAATATGCCTCTAATGGAAATAGAGCCACAATAGCTGATTCACTCTCCCAAATCCTCAATTTACTCTTACGCACATCCACACCCGCTGCAACCAAGGGAGAAGGCTCCAGCCTTCTCTCCTTGAACTTGCTTCTTTAATATGTATGGAAGGAGAGCGAAGAGAGGACTAGAAGAAGAAAGAAATATATGGTCTTCTTTTCTGTCATTCAAAAAGATCCAGATTTTTCTTGTGTTGTCTGGAGAGCACTGTAGGAGGGTTTGTTCTCGCAGCAGGTTTTGTTACTGCTGCATTTAAATGACACGTGTGTGTGTGTGTGTGTGTGTGTGTGTGTGTGTGTGTGTGTGTGTGTGTGTATGTTAATGTATGTCCTTGAAAAGAGAAGCTGACATAATCTCTGAATTATTTTAATTCATCAAACTATTTTTCTGAAGCTATAGTATTAGATATCAAGAAAATGGCTGCATTCTGTGGTCAATCAATATGAGTTTTTCAATGGCCAATAAGTAATTGCTAACATCGTTCCACAGCAACCACGCTTACAGATTTTTATTGTATAACGGCCCTGTGAGTGCAGGTGTTGGCCGATGTCAGGCCCTTCAGGGTGGGTTGGGATTTGTAGTTTAAGTAGATTTCACTTCGTAGAGGAAGACTTGCTGGTTGTTGGCATTTAAGCTCTGTGCAGTCGACAATAACCCACAAAATCAAGGAACATCAGAAATTTTTATTGACCAAGCAAAGTAAAGATCACATAGCATAAAGCCATAACTTGCAACGCACCAAAATACAGAAGAGTATTGCATTCACTTGCAGGTCTATGTGTCACTTATCCTTTAACCCTTGGTACTGAAGAACCAGAGGAGTTTAGGGAGATCGGAGTGGTCCGTGGACGCAGACAGTGCCTGTTCTTAGCTGTCCTTCCGTGTCCACACACGAAGCCTATTGTTACTCTACACTTGTGTGGTTTCCAGTGAAGTGTATGGATTCAGACTGAAGTCTCTGTTAGTGACAACCACAGATAGATCTCCATTATATACTCGTCTCCTCCAGATTTAGGTTTGATGATAGAAGTTTCGGAGACTGATGAAGACTTACATAGCATGGTTTATTAATCCCTGAGGTACAGTGCCAGCATACAATTTGTGAACACATGGAATGCCAAGAAAAACTTAGTGTCTGGGGATTTTAATCCTTTCTAGAAATACAGAGACTTGCTAAGTGTCCAAATAAGGTTATTCTTCATCCTCTGTTATCTGTTAATTGTTACGTTTTGTGCAAACATGCACATTTTTTGTGTTAAGCTTACCTGGTGAAGACTTTAATCTGTTAGTCTGACCCTTCAAATCTATGAAGCCCAAAGCCATTCAGCTTAGATGATGAAGAGCAAACAGGGACTGAGCAAAACAAAGAAGTAAATACTATTAACAATTTGTACAAAGCTAACTGCAAGACGTTTGTAAAACAAGGATAAAACAGCACTGTATGAGGAGAACGACGGTGAAGCTAACATTACTGTAGAGCTGACAGGAAGCAAGCAGACGTGCAGTTTGTAAAACCAGAAGCCCAGAAACATTGTTCCCCGCAGAGGCTAAATCAGAATCAGATAATAGCTGATGGGTTCTGAGATTGCTTGGATGCTGCCTCTTCAGTCCAACATATCATATCAAAACATACCGCCTGCAGTGTTCCTATGGGGCAATTGTGCCCATTAAAATTAGGACCACAAAAAGTGCCGGTGACATCCTTTTTCACAGGGAACAGAAGTCTCGCTCACGGAGAATTCTCGCTCTATAATCTCGTGAGAGGCGAGTTGTTGCAGGAAGACGACAGCAGAAACGTGAATCACAGCTGGAGAGAGGAGTTTGTGTTGGAATAACGTTAGGAAATAAAGTCTAGAAGTTTCTCAGCGTACAAACTCCTCCCTCATTTCCACTGGCCAGGGCAAGGGAAAAGAAGCTTCAATGAATTGTAATAGCTTTGGTCATTTTTTTAGCGCCATTATCAGGTCAAAATTCAAATTTGTACCAATTACTCTTTACAACCAAGTGCCTGCAAAACGAATGACATTCCATCAGCCTCGGCTGTAGGCCTGGGCCTACTTTGTGGTTAATAGCATGCTAACACCCTGGCACTTTATCAAGCTTTCTTACAGTAAAACAACCCTGATGTTAGCACGCTAGCAGTAGAGTATTTTTTAGCATGTTATTTTGTCATTATTTTATTTTTTTAACACGCTCACACACAAACACACACTTTTACTGTTTTATTTATTTTATTTTGTTACACACAAACACACATATTTACTGTTTTATTCACTTTATTTAATGAACTGTATGAAATGAATTGTTCTTTTAAGCCTTGGCAATATTGTCGTGCTAATAAAGCTGAATTGAATTGAGAGATAAAGAGACAGAGAGAGACAGAGAGAGAGAGAGGGGGGGGGGGGGGGGGGGGGGGGGCAGTTTCCTCCAGAGCAAGACGCTTTGACGGCGATGAGAAGTAGCAGCAGTGGGAAGCAGGCGGTATGAGAGCAGGTTCTAATGTGCGCCACACCGCATCCGGCTGTCGGTGCGCGGGCAGTCTGCGTCTGATATGAGCTCGGACTGCGAAAGTTACTACAGCAAAGAAAACGTGTTCGTGGAGGGCTTCACGTGTCCGAAAGCGGACAGTGACACCACGGCACTTTTCTGCTGCGGGTTCAGTGACTTGAAGTACTGTTGTGATGACCCCAACAGCTTTTTCCCCTACGAATATGGATACATGTGGTGGTTAAGGTAAGGGGTGATGGACGCAGTCAAATGAAAGTGTTGCATAGATTTTCCTCTCATCAGGATACGTGTCGGAGGTTTGCAGTGGAGCGGGAATAACATGTACATTTCTCTTGCAGCAAACAGTAATTCTGCTCAAAATGTGGGCTATTATATTATTATACACACTGAAGACGTTTTTAGCAGTTGGAGCTGTTAGGGATTTAAACACACAGCCTGTCCCTGTTTGGCTCTAATCAGGCTAATTGGCTGTTATAAGTGAGACTATTGACTCAACTCAATAGCAGAAAGGAATCTTAATCTGACCTTGCCTTTTCTCTCAGGTTTTAACAGCAATCAGATGCTACTGCTAGATCTGGCACAAACAAACGAACACAAAATGAATCCAATAAAATCAAGGTCCATTAGCCTACACCATCGATCTAAAGCTCACCTTTGACATTCACACACGCATGGATGCAACCATTATGGCCAAGGTTGCTTCTCATTCAGTAAAGACAAAGGACCAGGGATGCACATTGCACTGGTCCAACTTTTTCTCTCCAGATACTAAATCCGATGAGCTCTCAGGTGTCAGTCGCTTTGTCATCAATATCATTTTAAATCTTTATAGAGCACCTCAAGGAACTCATAGGATCATTTTTATGTAAGATAATGTGGGATCAGGGATTGCTGTTGTGTTTAAAAAGTGAGCTGATGACCCACCATGTCACGGGACGTATTAAATTTTCTAACAACAAAATTGCTGATTGATGGAACTAAAAATAAATAAATAAATATATGAAGGTTTTGACTGGTTTAAAGATCAAGACAAAAACTAATTTGCCCTACAGTATTTCATATTATTTTACTTAAATTTATTTGTGCTTTTATTTGCCAAGGATATTAAATATCTGTCTCTGAGATTTCTGCTACTAATCTACAATGGAGGTGAATGGCATTTAATTAGTGGTGCTCGCAGCTTTGAAAATTGCATTTGAAAAATTCCTGCACCATATTTCCTCAGAAACCCTGTTCCTGTCAACAGTTTTTATAGGGACTATTTCTTCAATCATTCCACTGGAAAGGGTTCACAGTGAGGTGTGTGGATCATTTTTCATCATGGAACATTTTTAAATAATTTTTCAGTGCACCATAAACACAATTCCATTCACCTCCATTGTATTGGGGTGGAATGAATTCATGGGTATTGCAAAAACGATCTGCATGGCCTTATCACTACAGGTATGTGAGGTAATATGTCTGTAAGTAGGGTGAACTGAGACTTTAAATCATTGTAGAAAATGCGTTTTAAGTACAAAATGTCATTGTTGTAAAAGAAAAAAAAAATTAAATCTACAAACCATTCATGATGTCTAAATTGTTTTTATCCACAATATTGCGAATGATTGCAAGTTTCTGAGCTTTTCAGTGTAAGGAAAGTTCATCCTTGTTGTAGTGGGCTTTTATGTCTTTGTATATCTCATATATATAATGTTTAACAATGCAACTCACATAACATGTGATCATCTCTGTAGAAGGTCCAGTGAAATTAGCCGACTCTGGGTAGCATGTCCATCATTATATGTCATTATGTGGTAAGAATTTCTCTGAAACACTGTGGTGCTTTTACTGACGTACCGTACTAATCTGAAGGTACAGAGTAGGCATTCATATGATAGAGCATATGAGTGAAGTGCACTCTGTTGCTCAGATTTGAAAATAAAACAGCTAATGTTTGCTAATGTAAATTTTGAACATTTTGCATATTTTATCCAGCTTAATTTTGCCTTTTGTGTTTTAGCTGGCTGCAGTTTTCATGCTCCTATGCTGTGGTTTTACTTCAAGTAGGCTACACACCAGTTGTCTATAACAGCCAATTGCGCCCTGTCAAAGTACGTCCACTAAAGGGCTTGTTTTTGCCACTGACAGTCACAAAAACATGGGAAAACAGGGTCCAGGTTGAAACATACAGAAGTTACCAATGTGTGTGGAGCTACAGCGGGGAGGCGATGAGAGGATGAGCATGGAGAAAGATGTCTCTGTCCTAAAGTTTAAAAAAAATCCACCTCATGAGTGTTGTGTGCTTAATACACACACAAATGGGAATGTAAAAACGATAGCGTGGCAATTTCTTAACAAATGACTTCCTGGAGTGTACACTGGTTGATTGGCAACCTCACAGGGCTTTTCCCAAATATCTACAACAGAATATGAGAATAACATCCAAGTTGACAATTCATTAAGCTGATGATACACCAGGCAACTTTTTGAGCAATGTTGCAGGACAATCTTGCTGGTGGCAAGATTGCCGACTATGTTGTGAACGGCTAGCGGCGGTGCAGGTGGCTGAGTGGTGAGGGCAGGGGATTATGGTAGTTATCTTTACTCAGTACCATTGATGGCAACATTGCCCAGCACCATTGCTCTAAAAGTTGCTCTGTGGATCATCAGCTTTAAGAGTAATATTTCATCAATTCAGTTTCACACACACATTTTAAAACAATGCTGTTGGATACATTTTTATGCATCTACTGTATGTTATATCCCATCTGATGTACAGTATACTGGGAGCAAGGTGCTACTCCAGCTGTCTTTGTTTTACAGTCTTGGAGCTCTTGTGGGTCTCTCTGTGGCAGCAGTGGTTCTTCTCGCCTTCATCATCACTCTCTGTGTCCTCTGCTATCTGTTCATCACCACTAAACCGAGAGGATTGGACAACGGGCTGCCGCTCAGAGCACCAGGTACTGACTCTTTCTCTCTACAGGGGGGGGCTTTCTGCCAACACATTGATAAAATACACTGAATTATTTTGGAGCAACCTTCAGACATTTATTAATGGCTGAGCAAGAGGTTTTGAAAGAAACAAACTGATAAATAAAAAAGCACTTTCTGGTCAGTCTCCGTTATCTTAATAAATGTATGTAAAGTATCGTCGCCAGGAAGCAAGCAATATAGTGTCGACTTCATTAAAAATATTCCACCCCCCTAGATATACCCACGGAACAAGGTCATAAAGAGGGGTGTGTATAAGCTCTTCTTAGCTATCATGTCATCTTCCCTAAAGAACAAAATCCAGTGAGCAGTTGTTTCCAGCGTATCTCAAGAAAAGATCTTCTATTTTTTGACTAGACAGTCTGAGCCTCTGACAGCAAATGTTGCAGTGCCGCTTTTGAGTTATTCAACAGAATTGTATCTGTCCCCAAAATCTCACTGTCCCCTCTGGTTAGTTTTAAGTGTGTTGCATTTCTGAGCACACTCAGCTTCACTAATGGGTGTAGTATAGTCCCTTCTTTCTTTTTTTAGTCTAGAATAGTCACAATTCTTTGTTTAAAGGTTTGATACTAAAGTTTTGAACTCATAGAAATATGCTTATTCTGTTTCTTGCCCAGAGGTGGATAAGAAGATTGATACCACTCTCACGTCAGTGCATTAAGCATCAAGCCAGAGACAAGAGCCTGCTAGCTTAGCCTAGCATAAACACTGCAAGCAAGGGGAAACTAGCCAGGGTGTGTCTAAAGTTATCATTTCAGATCTTGTACATTTAATCCGAAAAGTAGAAGTAAAATTATGGGGATTAATGGGGAGTTATGTGCTGAAACAATTTCTTGGTGCATTTTATGAAGAAAACTCAAAAATTGCAGTTTTTACAAATGAGATAGAACATGTTAATTACTGAGCTTTAGAGGTTTCTCTCTCTCTCTCTCTCTTTCTCACCCCTCTCTCCCCAGTCGAGGCAGATGGCCACCTACCTTGAGTCTAGGTTCTGCTTGAGGTTTCTATTTGCTAACAGGGATTTTTTCCTTTGCTACTGTCGCCAAGTGCTTGCTCATAGTGGGAATTGTTGGATCTCTGTAAATAATAAGACAAGTCTAGACCTGCTCTGTGAAAAGTGCAATGCGATAACTTCTGTTATGCTTTGCGCTATATAAATAGAATTGAATTGAATTGGTAGCTAGATTTGTGAACATTGGGCTTCTTTTGGATTCCTGGCAGCAAAGCGCACCCCACTGTGCCAAACAAACAGTCAGTCAGTGTGGACAGATGAGGCTGCAGCAGCTCTACAGGACTGTTCTGAGAGCACAGATTGGAATATGTTTAGAGAGGCTGCCACCCAGGAGAACTCCATCAGCCTTGAGGAACATACATCATCAGTGACACAGTCATACATCAGCAAATGATGTGATGTCTTCACTTCACTAATGATGTGATCACTAAGACATTAAAATCAATAAGACATTAAAATCATTTCCCAACCTGAAAGCCTGGATAAATGAAGGGCCAAAAAAAGCTGCTTTTCCATCAGGTGATAAAGAAGCTTACAGCACCGCCAGAGTGAGACTGAAAGCTGTTATCAGGCCCAGCTGATTTAGTGCATTTGTGGTGAACTGTGGTATTCTTGGTATATCTTGCAACAGAACTACTGAATCGCCGCAGATCTTGTGGGAAAGGAGGGATATTTGATTTATTGTATATTGCACCAATTGTTTATTTTGCATTTATTTTATTTAATATTTTTCTAAATAATAAGAGACTTTCTTTAATCATATACCAGAGTGGTGTTCGAGTATTTTATCTGAAAGCCAGTTATCATATTCCGCGGTTCACATGTTGATTACAAGGGAAGCTAAGATAGTTGACGCTGGGTTTCAGTGTTGATATTAAGAAACAATAATCTAAAAGAACTCAGGGCCCTGCCCAAACATACTTGCTAGAGGGTAGGAGCGCTACATTTACATGAACATCCAACATTATAACATTGTTGATAAGTCATAACATGTGGAAAAGCATAATAGGTCTCCTTTAATGCAGGCCCTTATTTTGCAAAATCAGGCATTTTAGACCGCAACAATCACTGAAAAGGCCCGCGAAATCCTGGAGGGACAGACAGTAGGTCCCCGTTAAGAAGGCAAAATTCCCATGTCAAAATATTAAATTTTACAGAAGAGCAATGGAAAGCATCCTGACTGGAAGCATCACCAACTGGCATGGGATGTGCACGTCCCAGGACCGGAGGCCTCTGCGGCGGGTGGTTAAAACTACTCAAAAGATAATTGGCACCCATCTGCCGAGCATCAGTGATATAGGTGAGGTGAGGTGTCTACGCAGAGCACAAAGGACACTTAGGGTGTACTCTCACTAGGCGATCTGAAACATGCCCAAGCATGTTTAACCCCCCAAAAATTGTTTGTATGTATCACTTGCTTTGTAGCATAAAGGGAACTACAAACTGCATTTCATTTTGCAACCCTGTTGTAATATGACAAATAAATTCACCTTGTACTTTGAAATTGTAACAAAGAAATGTATGCTTCTGTGTTTTACATAGTCAGTGGAGAGTAATATTGTCTGTTGCTGTCATTCAATTTCATGGCTTTCCCTTGTGATAGCCTTGAAAAAGGGAAGTATTCACTCATTCAGTTCCATTTAGGCATGTTGAAAGGACCTGATGTAAACCAGATTTCCTTGAAACAAAATAAAAACTCATTTTACTCATTAACATGGCTATCTAGAGCAGATTTTTTTATTTGCAGGTAAATTATGAGTGCAGGGACAAATTATTTTACATTTTGTGCCCGTACAAGATGAGATGATATTACTACATGTAATAGCATCTTCAGGACCTGGATCATTTGAATTGTTAATTATTTATAAAGTGGGAAGTGTGAATTTTGGAGTTCTAAGTCAAAAATATCAATGGGAATGCCCATTTAACTCAGACTTCCGACTCGGAAAGTCAGGAGAACCTCACCAACCCCGACCTCAAAATCCAAGATTACTGCTCCTGGAATCAACAGAAGTGAAAACTGTATTAAGTTTCTGTTTATTGCACATCTATCTTAATTGTGTCTGATTAAAAACAGTCCTGTCCGACTTATATGTGTAGACATGTGGCTACCGTGTTGGTTTGTGCAAAATACAGGAAAAAGCGTTATCAGCTGGTTTTGCCAACAATGGCCAGAGGCATTAGTCTTGGTTTTCCGACTTACATTACATCTATTCATTTAGCTGACGCTTTTATCCAAAGCAACTTACAATTGCTATCTACGACAGAGGTCGCACGCCTCTGGAGCAAGTAGGAGTTAAGTGTCTTGCTCAGGGACACTTTGGTGTCTCACAGTGGATTCAAACCCGGGTCTCTCACACCAAAGGCATGAGCCTTATCCGCTACTCTGTCACCACCACTTAAATCAGCTCGGGTATGATGTCATTCTCAGCTCGGACCTCCAACTTCCACGGTAAATCGAAAGCACCATAAGCCTACTTGCTGTTTCTGTGTCAAGCAAAGAGCTTGGAAATGAACTTCAAAACTGCAGTTTCAAAGCCTTGTCACCATGCTAGAATATCCACGAAATGTGGGGTATGTTTGGCCTAAAACTGAAATTTTAAAGTTCTGCACATCCCTTGCCCACCCAAAAAGGTGTTTTTACTTATGTTCTTTAATTAGACCTCTCCTCAGGGCTAGGTAGGCATACTGTTTATCTATCTAGGTCTAATCAGACACTCAAAGCATCATATATCACTCATATATCAAAATCAGCCGTGACAAATTACCAGAATTTGTCCTCTGTACCCTCAGTGGCAGTGGTGGAAGAAGTACTCAAATTCTTTACTTAATTAACAGTAGAAATACCATCGTCTAAGCACATCATGTTGTAATGATAAAGTTAAAATGTCATCAAATAAATCTAGTGGAGTAAAAAGGCAATATTTGCCTCTGAAATGTAGTGTAGAAGTACAAATAGTATTAAATGGGAATACCCAAGTATAATACAAGTATGTCTAAATTGTACTTAAGTTACATTCCACCGCTGCTCAATGATGGGGTGCATCCCAAGTCTCTTAATTGCGTCTTTTCCTTGCGTTTTAGTCCCGCCCACCGGGGATACAAGGAGCGACACAAGAAAACCAAGTGAAGAGTAAAGAAACAAGGAAATGTGTTTTTAGAGAAATGAGACCTCCTGGTTGTAGCTGGGTCAGCTGTCAGTCAGCTCTAATACTAATAAAGACACAGTTATCACCACCAGATCAGGATGTTTCTATCTGTAGCTGTCACCTGTTTAACAAACACCTGCACATGAAGAACAACCTACACTCTGAATGTATACAGTGCACTGTGTCCTGCTCAGAGGCACAGAGTCATTGCTATATTATTTAGTCATTATCTGCATCTGTATATATTGAATTTTTATAATGAAAAACCCCAGAATATAATCATGGTGTCATTTGATTTATTAGGCTAAATGTTTCAGGGGAAATTGAAATGATAAATGATTTTTCTTTAACTGGATCCATAAGAAATGTTAATGGGAGAAATAACAGAAAAGGAAAATCTTTCTAATAAATGAAGAATCTCCTCAGAGATCGCCCCTCGATCCTCGATCTCTTAAACGACAAATAAGAGACGTGAGATGCACCATCTGTTATGGTCCTGAATGACAGAAACAGATGAGTTCAGCAATTTTTAACACTGATGTTGCTGGCTTTGCAGGTATCAGATCTCTATAAACAGATGTCTGCATGTGAATGCAGAATCTGTAGGCAAGGGACAGACAGGGTTTGGAGTCCGTTTGGAGTCCAAATGGTATTGACCAATCACGTTTGAGGGGACTTTGGTTGCATGCAGATAAACAGTCTGTGTTGAGAGCAAAAGAAGCACAGAAGAACAATTCTGAAATATTGGAAGTCATCGACTATCATGGGTGATGATTTAGCTTTTTATAAATCTCGGAACCCTAAAGCGTCCTCAGACGAAAGCTGATGGGTTCCGAGATTGCTATCCGGGCCGTAAACAATAATGGTGCAAAGACAAGGAAGTCTTCCACACTAGAAGCCCCGAACACCCCTCTCCCTGAGGTTAAACTCATTGTCAGACGATAGCTGATGGGTTTTTATATTTGTCAGATGTGTAACTCAGGCTTGTATTGAAGTTGCTTTGCTACACTATGATCTGTTGATCAGACAGGTTAGAAACAAGCTCTCAGGTCAGTCAAACTTATTTGGAAGAGAAAACGAAAGTGAATAGTAAAATTATTTCCCAAACCTTCCATTGTAAACATCAGTCACAGTTTACAGACCAGCTAACACGTGTGCGTGTGTGTGTGTGTGCCTAGATCTCAGTAAATAACTTGGTGAATACATTGCTGATAGAACAGATGCCTTGAGTTATCGTGAAACAAGTTGTAATAAACTGTAGTTCTTCTTTAAACATCATTACTTTTGATAGTGTTGTGTCTGTGTGGTTTGTAAGATTTTTCACACACAAGTTTCTAAGTGAATTTTCTGTCTTCCAGGCTCTACGTCGAGTCCACAAGGACCAGAACCCAGTCATACCAGTGCACATGCTGGCCCACAAGGCCTCAGGAAACACTTCATGAGGGGCAAGCTGGACTGCGACAACCAGCCCCCGGACCCTGACCGCCTTTTCCAGCGTTGTTTCATGGCTACTGTGACCTCTATCAACGTGGAGGGTCCTGCATAGATTGGTGGACTACAGCATTTGACTTACTGACCAGCTTTTAGCTTGATTCCTATTTATTTGCCACAGACCTGTCACCACTACACTGTAGTATATAATCTCAGTAATATGATCTCAGTTGCTTTACAATTAGCTTTTATTAGCTTTGATGTGGGGAGTCATATGCATTGTTTGTTGCCACATGTCTTTTTGTAATGTGTCTATTGCACAAAATCAAACCAACACAGAAGTCCTTTTGCTCAACAAACAGAAAAAAACTCTTATTGCCATTTCCCACTACCTGTTGCATTGGTGCAACAAAATAGCCAAAACAAAACAGCACAATTATGCACTCATTGTGTGGATAATCAAACATTTTTGAGGCGGTAATTCAGCAGAAGAGAGTCTTGGTGACTGCAAAACATGGTTTTAATTTGCTTCTGATAGACGAGATGAGCTGAGTTATAATAGATGTATTAGAGCTCATTCCCTGATGTCCAGAGGTTGTTAGCACCTGTTGGTCATGCATTTTATGGTTCTTGAAAACTGAAGAAAATATGCAAAGTTCATCACTTGTTTTCACTTGTTGAAATCCACTGAGAAATAACCTCAATACAGTGTCTGAATGATGATTAGCCATTGACATCATAGACTCAGAAATGCTTTTGATGAACCTGAGAGACAGGGTGATTTTGGTAAATAAAAAGTGAACTATCTAGCTGTGCCTAACTCTCTGAGGGCACCTGCTGGCTCCAAACTCTGCTTTTACAAAGTGATGGAGAAGTCAGTAATGAAAGAAGTTGAATAATGTTTTGTGATGAAAATGTTTTTCATTTATTGAAAAAAGAAAAAAAATATTCAACTTCTCCCATGTCTCCCGGGGCCACTCCACTCATTTTATGCATGAGATCAGTTTGCTCATCATAAAATCTTAGATAACGCTGGTGATGTCATCGGGATTATCTAAAGTTTGGCATGAAGCTTCACATTTTTAAACTAAAGCCTACATTACAAACTGACAGCATGGAGTTTGCATGATGTGGTTGCCTGCAACACAGTTCAAGGAATGGCAATGTCTGTCTGTCGGTTGGTGGGTCGCTTTGGTCCAGACTGAAATATCTATACAACTATAGCCGCTTTCACACAGAGATCCCGCAATAAATGCGGAAAGAATGGCCGCCAATATGCCGCATTCGCTCATTCATACTGAACAAAATATTTCGGCATACCATGAGAAATATCTTGATGGATTGCCATGAATTTCATACACATGTTCTTGTCTCCCTCAGGATGAATTGTAATCACCTTGACGGCCCCTTAACTTTTCATTTAAGGCTTTCATCAGGTCAAAATTTTAATTTGTCAAATACCTTTTATTTGTTTATGATCAAATGCTTGCTGAACAACTGATAAGGATGCCAGATTTTCAACAGCACTGCCTCTGATTAGCGAGTACTCGTTGCCTCCATAAATTGAGTTTAGGGTTAGGATGGGGTTAGGGATAGCCAATCAGAGGCAGAGGTGGGGGCAGGACTTTACGCAGATCTGGTAATCTAATGCTGGTAAACATGGTAAACATTATACCTTCTTGGCATCTGCATTTTAGAGCTGTTATTGTGAGCGTGCTAGCTTGCTATTAGCATTTAGCTCAAAGCCCAGCTGTGCCTAATGCCTCATTTCCACTACACGGTCCAGCTCGACTCGACTTTTTGGTTTGCCATTGGTGAAAGTGGATAGTATACCTGGTAACTTGTACTTCTTTGGTCAAGGTTCCAAGTGAGCTGAGCTGATACTAAAAGGTGGAGTTAAAACACTGCGACCACTGATTGAACAGCGAAAATTGTCTAAGCTTAGATGGAGTACGGTCTAGACCTGCTCTTTATGAAAAGTTCTAAGAGATTACTCCTGTTATAAATTGGCGCTATATAAATAAAATTAAATTAAAAGCTGCCAATTGAATTTTTGAAATTTTTTTTTTTCACTAGACACTAGATTTGAAAAAATGGCTGCCCGCAAAACCACGCCATGGTCGACTGATAAAGGGCAGAGGTTTCTCTGTTTTGGTTGCAGGTGTGTGTTTGCATAAAGTTGAAGATGAGGGGGTACAATCTGCAGTGGAAAACAACATTGAGAAAAGTACCTGGTACCAAAAGTGAGTCAAGTCGGGCCAAGCTGTGTCATGCAGTGGAAATGAGGCTCCCTAACAGTTTGTTTGTGTTTTACCATAATACATTTATTTATAGGCGCCTTTCTGAACACTCAAGGTCAACTCAAGCACATTGAAGACATGTTTGTAACTCACTTGTGGTATGGGAACATATACTTTGTGGCTGTACTCATTTTAATGACACAAGAGCTAATTGACATTAACAAGAAAAATGTGTTTTCCTGTATTTAAAGACAAAGACAGTAACTTGTGAAATGCACACTTAAATATTTGATTTTCAACTTAAAGGTATTTAAATACTGTACATTCGCAAAGTAAATTTCACGATACACAAATGCATACTGCTCCAACCATAGCAGCCTGCAAAGATAATAAAGAAGACAAAAGAGCTCAGTTTACACATGTGGTGGACATTGCCACTCCTGGTAGAATGACAGCAGATTGTCTCTGGCAGTCGCAAAACAGCCAAAATACACACAGACACAGCCACATTTGAGAACAGTTCAACTAGTAGTTTTATGGTCCCCATTGTTTTCTTTTAATTGGAACAATACCAGCTACGTTCAGCAGCCATTGACAGTAGGTGACTTAACACTTTAAATACTGCTTTAAAGTGTAAATCTATCCTGAATTGCTTTTTCTCTCATTAATTAACATGCTCAAAGGTGTTTAAGTTAATAGAATGTTGATTTTGACTTTCCCAATGTTTTGGGACAAATTGTTTCAAAATTGGTGAAAGCCAAACGAAGAAACCCATGTCACAAATGCATTCAACAATTCTGTACTTTATTACGTGTAAACGTAGAAGGGATACAACCTGGGTGCTTCACATACCAGCTGTGAATCTGATGCTCACATCCTAGAACACTTTGTGTTTTGCTTTGATGGTGTGTGAACCATAGCTTCGTGTTGTAGCTGTAAATTGTTTGTACCATGACTGCTCTGTTTATTTTAAGAAGATGAATATATTGTCAGTCTGTGTTTATTAATTTAATTGAATTTAATTAAAATTTAATGAGAGTATTTAGGACCTCCCTATGTTTACCATCATTATATTTATAGCAAGATATCTGGCAGCTCAAGTGCCTCCTACTAATAAATGTGTATTTTCTGAAGTTATTAAAGTTATGAACTACACATGCTTGTGTGCTCTCTCTTGCTTTGATGCTTAACTTTGATCTTGCTGCACCTCAAGCAATGTCTTTAAATTAGATTTCCCTCTTACCTTAGGTAATGCATTTTTTATTAGTCAAGGCACCAAAGCTGCTGTTGGAGTTGCTCAAATTATTCATTCTCTGTTGCATGATGTTTTTAGCCCATCATACACAGTAGGTAAACATCCTAAATGTATTCTCTGGACATCAAATCACTTATGTCACATCACTTATCACTGACTTTTCACTTTATGCAAGTGTCACATAATGCTGTTATAGTTAAATATGCTACACTCCCTAATTTTAATATGGCACCCTCAAATCCCCAAATTTTCTCCCAGCAAATTCATGGTTTGCAACAGTTTACAAGTGACTCAAGTTTGAATATTAATGAACACATTTCAAGTTGGAGGAGATTTGTGATGCATAAAGGCAAAATCGGTATTTGTTGTTTATTAAATTTTTTAAGCAGAGAGCAGCAGCTCAGGTTGATCTGCTTTGATCTGGAGGCTGTCAGACTGTATATGTTTAACTGTAATGAAAGTTCAACACTGTCAAAAGTGGGCAGTGTAGTCTAACGACTAGCATTAAGAATGTTATTCCTTACCCTAATGTTACTTTCATTCCTAACATCTGGTGTATGTGGCAGGCAGTAAAGCCCAAGAACAACAATAAAGTTCTATTTCTGTTCACTTCATAATAACTGGATAATCATTTAATTTTCAAGATATTATACCACTGGTGAAAGAAGTACTTTAAGGCTTTATTTACACTGTAAAACTAGTAAATGTCCACAAGCAAAATCCTATTTCAACCTGCAATGACAGAGGTTTTTTTTACCACTTCTGGGCGGGAACAAGTTGTGGACAACCTTGACTTATCACCTTTAAACTTGAAATGGTAAATGGTATATGGACTGTTCTTGTCCAGCTCCTTTCTAGTCTTCCGACCACTCAAAGAGCTTTACACTGCTTGTCACCTTCACCCCATTCACACACATTCATCCGCTGATGGCAGAGGTTGCCATGCAAGGCGCCACCTGCTCATCAGAAAGATACTAATCATTCACGCAATATTGGAATTCATCATGAATGTAAGGCCAATATGCTCTGTTTTTGGTCTCTATCAACTCCTGAGTGAAATTTCTGTCTCTCTCTTTAGCTGCTTAATGGTCCACTGTGTTCACCAGCTATCACACTCCTAACACCAGCCACCAAAATGCATACATTTTCACATTTCAATCAGCCAGTTGCTCATAGGAAGCATCCAAAACAACAATTATAGCGACAACATTATGTTAATTGCTAAGAGCTGTGTCCTGCCACACTGTGTAAAACAGAAAGGAGAATTATTGCTCATATCTAACTTGTAATTAAACTGACTGAACATTTTTTGAGCTGGCACAAGCTGCTTGTTTGTGATGACACTGGGGTGGGGGCAGCTCTTTATATGGGTGGCAAGCAAGCCACAGAGATAATATTCAAAAATATGTTTTCTGAGTAAATCTATCATGTAGGCCAGTGGTTCCCCTCAAGTGATCGCGAGATAAATCTGATGGTTCGTTAGGCGATTATAAGGATGAGAAAGCAGATAAACAATTTATGCTCATAAAAGTGTTGTTTTTGAGGTCTATCACTCACCCAGTCTCAGATACGTCTCCATTTTATTAAATGACACAGGGGTGTGTTGCTAGCATCAAATCACAGCCACCAGTTTTGCTGTTTGGTGGGGGTGGTGGTGGGGGTGGGCTGCATGTGTTACAGTAAATTCTTTGTCTGACAGCACTGGGGGAAATCCAACACCCCCCGTGCTGTAGGCTCTTTACCAATTGCAAGTAAGGCATACTTTATTGTCACATACACATTCATGTAGCAGATTCATTCTCTGCATTTAACCCATCCATCAAGGGAGCAGTTGGCAGCCACTGTGCAGCGCCCAAGGACCAACTCCAGATCTGAGCCAGTGTCACTGGTCAGTGACGATGTCCAGATTCTTAATCCCACAAACAAAGCTCTGACTGATCAACTGTTTCGCCAACCAGCATAAAAAAATGTCAGCGAGCACAGCACCCACTGACTGTTGTGTTTGCAGTTGGAAATAGCTGAAAAGGAACTGCTGAACAAATCTGAAACGTGGGCATCAATTCAGAGGTCTGAATTCTTCTGTCTTCCTGTAAATTACCGGATCATTTCACCTATTTAAAAGTATTTACATAAAACAAGGCAAAAGGGATCACTCTTTGGTTGCAGCAATGAGTCACAGGCATTGCTTCAGTATAAGGAGCCACAAGCTAAAAAGGCCAGACCACTTATTTTGGAATTAAGAGAAATGACAACAGTCTCTTCAGTGTAATTGATTTGTTCACCTGTTTTTTCCCTGTAGAAGCAGATGGAGCTTTCCTGGCACAAGAAGAGGCAAGAACAAGATGTACTGGATAATACAGGAACAATGGCAAGGCAGGATGGTGAAAACATGTTGAAGGAATTGCCTGGTGACTCAACCTCTGGGAGAGAGATGCAAACAGCAGGGACATGCTCCTTTAGCTTGTTGATGGCAAAATAAAGCTAAAACAAGGTCATTGATTTTATACAGAGGTGCAGACACAGAGCACTCAGATGCTCACCTTGTGAACCACCCAGCTCTGCAGGATGCAAACAACATTAAATGGTCCCCTGAGTGTTTCGCACAGTGGCAATGTCTGACTCTAATGCTCTGGCATTTTCAAAGATGATGGGAAAAGTGAAAAGAGAAAGAAACTTGTGGTTTCTCATAGGCTGAGGAGTACGATGAGTATGTGAGAATGATGAAGTTGAGTGTTTTTATTGTGGGTGGCCTGGACTTGATCATGCTTCAGCAGCTGGCTGCAAGTAGGTGGTTTTGTCCATTGTTGTTCATCTGCAGGCTGTTACACTGTTCTGAAATGCTGCATTTGCATTTTAAATCCAGACTCTGTGTTGTCACTGCATTGCCAAATAATCAATCATAATCAATAATAAGCCAAAACGGTTGCCTGAAAGGCTTTAATGTCCACCTCAATATATTATTGTCATTGTTATGTGGTATAGCTTATTAAACCTGAATGACTATTAGAAAGTGTAGATCTGAAACTGCTTAAGCACAGTAACAAAACCACTCATTTGATTGTTAAATCCTACAGCATGACTACACTTAACAATAAGCAGACTGAGAATTGAACACTGTTGACAGTACAGTTTTGATTATCTGAAAACATCCAACTGGTGATTATGAACAGTGTCGTGAGAAGGAGAAAAAGAAGAGAAAATATAAAGTAGAAGCATAAGTGAAGCTCACAAAATTATAGAAAAGAGGGCAAGCAGAAGCATTAGAGGCAGTGTAAAGTATAGTGGAGACATGGAGGGCAGGACATGACTATTTGGTTTTATGACGTTTTATGTTAATGTTACAGGACTAATTCCAAGTTTTTAAAAATGTGCATTGGAAATGAGGAAGACTATATCCAGAAGGAGGCAGTAATGCAACGTTAAGAGGCCAAACTGCTGTAAAACCGTGAAGAAGAAGAAGAAGAAGAAGAAGAAGAAGAAGAAGAAGAATGGAACAATAACTGAACAGTGTGAAGGGATCATATTTGAACATTTTTACAGATGGTGCCAGGGAACCAGAGAGTGGGAGAGCAGGTTTTGGGGTGTATATAGCTCAACTGGACCTTAGGATCTGCAAGAGACTACAGTAGTTCTGTCTTTACAACAGAGCTGCTTGCAATTCTTTGGGCTCTGTGGTGGATTGAGGATGTGAAAATAAGTGAAGCCTTAACCTGCTCTGACTCTGCAGCTGCCCTGATGGAAATTCTGCCTGTATTATTTAGAATTTCAGAGATTGGTAGCAATGTTATGTTCTGCTGGGCCCTGGGCATGCTGGAGTTGAGGAAAGGAAATGAAGTAGCAGACTGTTTAGCAAAATAAAGCCTAAAGAAGTTAGAGACATATATAAATATATCATAGGGAAGAGTGGAACTAAAAGAAAAAAAGGGAATGGCAAAGACTGTGGGACAATGAGACCAAGGGGAGACATTAGGCTACTACTCTTTGCAATCTCAGGTTAAAAAAGTCAGGCATTGTTATGGATCCAGAAGAGCTTTTGTTAAAATGTGCAGGTTAAGACTTGGGCATTGTGGGTTGAATCAGTCCTTATATGTTACTGGAAAGCATCCTAATGGGCTTTGTGTGTGTGGGAATTTTGAAACAGTGGAATTCTATTCAAGAGATTATCAGATTTGGGAGTCATACTCAGTTAAATCTATATTGTGTCAAATTGAGACCCACCACTTGATTGTCAAAGTAGTATTACAGTTCTTACACGATACAGGGCTACACATAAAAAGTTGAAGCAATAACATTCTCATTACAGTGACTTCCTGAGGAGGGCAGTGACGCTAATACGCCTGGAAGCGTCTGAACTGCCGACAATTCACATGAAGAAGAAAAAGAGGAAGATTACAGGAAGCTTCCATGGAGACAAGGGACGCCGTGTGGTCGCTATGCACAGAGTAGCCACAAGTTGGAAACTCTTTGTGCCGTTTTATGTTTCCTAATTGGTGGGGAATTTTAGAAAGTTATGAAGGCACTTGTTTTTGAAGTACGCCGTATGTAACGTTAGGTAACGTTAGCTAGCGCACATGGTTTTATCCTCTAGCTAGCTAACACTAAAGTTACCATCTCCAATGCAGAAAGAAACTTGGTTAGCCACGGTTAATATAACGTGTAAACATGTAAGTTAATACATCAAAGTGTGCTAAGTAATAGCCAGATAGCATTTGGAAGAGCGTCGGTTTAAAAATGTGGAAACGGGGCGGTCGAAGCTCTGCTCTGGACCGAGCTCAGGCGCTGCTGTCCGCGAAGAGGAACAGCAGAGGGGACGCAGAGCCCGTGCAGGGGTCTACAGCCAAAACACGGGTACATGCGGTCAGTTTAAACATGTTTCAATCAACAGATGACAGATGAGA